TCTCTCTCTCTCTCTCTTTCTCCACTGGAGATCGTTTGTACAATTGATGGTGGTGGTGGTGGTGGTATCACTGAGCACATCTAGCCGATGCTAATTAGTCTGCCGTTCACAAAAAGTTTGGTCGGTGGTCTTCTGCTCGCTATAAAGGATCATCACTACTCACTGCTGTGCCAGTGCTAGTCTCACTGTGTTAGTCACAATCTGCTGCTGCTGCTGCTGTTGCTGCACTCGATTAGTACTCGAAAAGTGTAGAAGAGAGTGCTTTCTTTCTAATCCACCTCAATCGACTAATACTACTTTTCATCAACTAACCTCTACTCCCGCCACTGCTGCTGCTAACCGGCATTTTTGGCATTTTCTCTTCTCTCATCCCCTCTCTCTCTTTCGTTTACTGTTTGCAGCAATTTTTTGTGTGACTATCTTCGATAACGATCGATCGACCGATCATCATCACCACCATAACCAGAGATGCTTTCAATTAACTGACAGACCGACTGACTGACTGGAGGTGATCATTTGAGGCTGGCAACGACTGCTGCAAACATTTATTTTGCCTTGAAACTCGGGCGCCTCCTGCACTTTCTCTCTTCTTTCAAATTCTTTCAACTGGAACGAGTACTTCGCACAACATTGATCTGATTTTCTACTACTACTTCTACTACTACTTTTTCTTCAATACCAGTGTTCAAACAAAACGGCCAGAGAAGAGAAGAGGCAGGATCATTCGCCACATTTAGTTCATCTCTTCTCTTCTCTTTCGCAACACACAACTCTTCTTCAATTGATTTATAATTCTAGGTAAGGACGACCAAATAAAGTTTAATCCGCCAAAAGCTAAATCCTCTTTTTGTTCACTTTTTTAGTCGACAAAAAAGCAATCAACTTATCATAATCATCATCATGACTAGCCTCAGGTTATCGACCAAACTTTTGCTGGCTTTTAGCCTCTTCCTCCTTTTATCCAGCACAAATGCTCAAAATATTACGAAAGAACCCTCGCAAGCAAAAGACAGCACCAACAAGCTAAAAATCGAACCAATGTCAATGGAGCTGCTGCTGTCGGAGGCGAAAACCGCCACACTGTGGCTGGACCCGGCTCTGGCCGCCGGCGACCACCCCGTCTCCGTTCGCTTCACCTGCGAGGACAGCGACAGCGGCCACGACTTTGACCCGAACTCCACCGAATCGGGCTGCTCCATTCTGCAGCTGGAGCGGAACCGGTACGACTTTACGCTGGGCCCGGCCAATGGCAGCAAGGTGGAGATAACGGTGATTGCCAGCGGAAGCGAGCCCGGGAAGCAGCAGCTGGTGGGGCATGTCCTCGGTCAGCGAGCTTTGAAGGACGGGAAGAACATCACCGTCGAGTAAGTCCATTGAAAGTCCTTTTAAAAAATTTTTAACTAATTTTTTTAAATTTTTAGCGCCACCAAGGCCTACATCAGCGTGAACGTCGGCCGCAGCTCCGCCATCCTCATCGTCAGCGCCATCGTCGGCTGGATCTACTTCGCCGCCTGGTCCATCTCCTTCTACCCGCAGATCTGGGAAAATTTCAAGCGCCGCTCCGTGGTGGGCCTCAACTTCGACTACGTCGCCCTGAACATCACCGGCTTCCTCTCCTACTCCGCCTACAACATCGCCCTGAAGTACGTGCCCAAGGTGGAGGCGGAGTTCTTCCACCGGCACCCGCGCAGTCAGAATCCAATTGAGCTGAATGATGTCGTCTTTGGCATTCACGCCGCCTTCGCCACGCTGGTCGTCATTGTCCAGTGCTTTATCTATGAGGTAAGTGGNATCGCCCTGAAGTACGTGCCCAAGGTGGAGGCGGAGTTCTTCCACCGGCATCCGCGCAGTCAGAATCCGATTGAGCTGAATGATGTCGTCTTTGGCATTCACGCCGCCTTCGCCACGCTGGTCGTCATTGTCCAGTGCTTTATCTATGAGGTAAGTGGTTTTTTCTTGATGAGAAGGTTTTAACTATCTTGAACTTCTTTTCTTCTTCTTCTTCTTCTATTCAGAGGGGCACCCAAACCGTCTCCTGGTTCAGCCGCATCTTCCTCGCCGTCGTCTGGTCGGCCTACATCGTCATCGCCATTGTGATTCAGTTCAGCGACGTCATCAGCCTCCTTACCTTCGTCTACGTCTTCAGCTACGTGAAGCTGGCCATCACGCTGATCAAGTACATTCCCCAGGGGTACTTCAACTACCAGCGCAAGTCGACGGTGGGCTGGAGCATCGGCAACATCTTCCTCGACTTTACCGGGGGCCTCCTCAGTATGTTCCAGATGTTCCTGCTGGCCTACAATTACAGTAAGTGGTGATAAGGTTCTTGATGAGGATGGACTTTACTAAAGTTCTTGATTTTCTTTTTAGACGACTGGCCGACCATCATGAACAACTTCACCAAGTTTGGCCTTGGCCTGATCAGCATCCTCTTTGACGTCTTCTTCCTGGTGCAGCACTACGTCCTCTACCGCCACTCAGGCGCGGATCACTCCAGCCAGTCGACGTTGATCAGCGGCGGCGGGGAGTTCCCCCACGAACATCGCACCAGCCTGAGCAAGGAGGAGGAGGAGAAGCTGGCCGTGGCCGGGGAACGAGCCTCAGTGCCCACTCTCGTACGTAATCTCAGCAAGGGTCTGGAGCCGCAGCAGGCGTAGTGATTTTAGTGATAGTAACAAGCATAGTATTTCGCATAGTAGAGAGAAAGGAGAGAAAGAGAGAATGATTACACGAACTTACCGAAACCGTTAGGACAACTCTTTTGAGGGTGATGAGGATGAGATGAGATGACCCACCGACCACTCTGTTCTTTGTTGTTTGATGTTGTTGATGTTGTTGATGGTGATGTTTTGTTGTTGTTCCTGTTCACCGAGGCTCGATCTTGTTTCTCTTCTTCTTCTCTACTTTCTCCTCTTCTCTTCAGTCTCTCTTCTTTGACGACAGTGGCCAACTTTTTGACCGACGACTAGCACTCTTCCCCCACCCCGACAAACCACCAATCTTTGTTGACTTTTTGTTTTCTTTTTGTTTTGATTGTACAAACTTCTCTTCACACTCTGACTCATGACTGACTTCATCTCGTTTCTGTTCTCTAATCTCTCTCTGTTCATCTGCTCATCGTTCACTCCTTTCTTTTCCTTTCCTTTCCTGCATCTGCATTTGACCACTGAGGACTCAATTTTGTGTCGTGTGTGTGTTCACATAATATTCGCACTGACTGTTTCTTTCTTTCCTTCTTTCTTTCTGTTTGCATGTTTTCTCACATTTGCATAAAGGATTAGTGTGAGTGCGTGCACCGATGAAGTGTTGGTGGCGAAGATGTTGGTGGTGGTGGTGGTGATTACTATCTAATCAATCTTGATCTCAGTGTCGAGACTATGACTTTATCGGTGGAACGAAAAAAATTGTAGTGGTAGACTGTGTATCGGTGTCAGCAGCAGCAGTGCTTCCGGTCAGATTATGGCTAGATAAATCGGTTGAGGAAACTATTTAGGAGAAAATGATCAGTTTAACGCTGCTGAAGTGAAGCTACTGTACTGTACCATTTATCTAATCTTTTTCTCTCTTTNGAAACTATTTAGGAGAAAATGATCAGTTTAACGCTGCTGAAGTGAAGCTACTGTACTGTACCGACCTTATCTAATCTTTTACTTTTTCTCTCTGTCTCAGGTGCACCACATCAACTACGGCGCCACCGACGCCATCAACACCAACATGGACATCCTCCAACAGAGCAGCGGCAGTCCACCGGCGACGTCCAAGTCTCCTCGGTGGACGCAATCGCCGCACAGTCATGTGATCCACTAGGCACACTTGAACAAGCCAAACAAACAAACAAACTCTCGGGATCTCACCTCAAAAGCAGCAGACAGCAACGACAAACAACGATCTTATCTCTTTTTTTCATTTCATAACTGTTTTTTTCGCCTCAATCAGTCTTCCCTTTTCTTTCATCATCATCATCTTCATCATCATCTTCATAGCTTTTTCTCATTTTTTTTCTCATTAAAAGTTTTTTCCTGCACTTGGCAGGGGCACTACCTAGTGGCCAGCATTAGGAAAAAACTAGGACTACTTTCCGATCTTTGTATAGTAGTAGTAGTACTTTGCGGCTTTATTTATTGGTATTTGAAAATTGAATCAGTAGTTGTAGTTGTAGTAGAAGTTCATCATCTCAGTAATTGGTAATAGTAGTAGTAGGAAGTAATAATAGTAGAAGGTAATAAGTGTGTGTTTGTCTGTTTGTTTGCAGTGTTCCAGAAGGAGGAGAAGAAGAAGGAGGAGGTGTGTGAAGATCACGGAGCAGAAGAGAAGGGAAGGGGAGGGGGCGTAAATGTGTGCTGGCAAGAGCAGAGCAGGTGATAATCAGTGGGAGGACCAGTGAAGAGGAGTGATCAGGAAAAGATTAGATGAGAGACATTTGGTGCTGAAGAGGAAGAAGAACTCGATGAAGCATTTCGCCAACTGAAAACAACAAACAACAAAACTTTTCGATCCACACGCCCAGCAACAGCAAAAACTGGACGTGCCCAGCCGTTATTTACCCGTCTGGAGATGATCATCGTATTTGTGGTCGTCTGTAGTTGGCGGTTCACCATCGTCAACTCTTCAAGCTCATCAATGTCGCCTTCATCATTTGCAATTATCTTCGCCTTCTTCTTTCTCCTTCTTCTTCACAGTCCTCCGTGGCCACTTTTCACCTTTGCTTCTGTCTAGGTCGCCGCAGCCGCCGCCACCGCCTTCTTCTTCGCCCACATTCGTACATTATTTATAAATTATATAAAACAGAGCATAATAATAATGTGTGTACAAAAGAAAAGAGGAGAGGAGGAGGAGAGCAAGAATAGAGCCCGTCCGCTCACGGCTCAAGAGCGAAATACGACGACGAGGATAACGACGACAGATTTGTGTGAATCGTGTGTGTGTGTGTGTGTGTGTGTGTTTAGTCTTTGTTGTATTTGCTGATTTGAAGAACAACATTTGAAGATGTCTTTCAATTAGAGCAGTAGTAGTAGTAGTAGATACGAANAGGAAAACGACGACAGATTTGTGTGAATTGTGTGTGTGTGTGTTTAGTCTTTGTTGTATTTGCTGATTTGAAGAACAACATTTGAAGATGTCTTTTCAACCAGAGCAGTAGTAGTAGTTGTAGTAGTAGTAGATACGAAGTAGTAATACGATCCGATTTGGTGGTAAAGAAGGGAAAAGAAGGTGTGTGTCTGTGTGATTTGGAAGTGTGTTGAGAGAGAGAGAGTTGTGGTTGTGGTTGTTCAGATCAGCAAAAAGTATATATTGTGCAGATCGGCGTCCAGAGAGATGCAGCAAAAATCAGTGTGTGGCGGTGGTGGTGTTTTGAGAAAAAGATATAACAGAGTCCGTGTTTTGAGAGGTGGATAAAAACGAGAGAGAGAGGGAACAGTTGAACAAAAATCAGGTGAGTGAGTTATTAACGAGAAGAAGATGGCTTTTGAAGAAAGAAGAGCTCAAAAGTGTATCTTTTCCGTGTTTTGAAGATAAAAGATTGCTGAGTAGGTTGATTGGTTGATTGGTTGGTTGGCTAGTTCCAGTGTGTGTGTGTGTGCACTTAGCAGGCAGATGATCATCAAAAATAAGAATAAGATCGAAAGGGATGCGCAGTGGTGAGAAAAGAGAGCTAACACAGCTAGGCTAGTTAACTTAAAAAGCGGAAAGAGAAGGAGNGGTTGATTGGTTGATTGGTTGGTTGGCTAGTTCCAGTGTGTGTGTGTGTGTGCACTTAGCAGGCAGATGATCATCAAAAATAAGAATAAGATCGAAAGGGATGCGCAGTGGTGAAAAGAGAGCTAACACAGCTAGGCTAGTTAACATAAAAAGCGGAAAGAAGAGGAGGAGGGGGATGCTTATATTAAAAACAAAGATAGGAGAAGGAAGAGGAGAAAAAGTTGATTTGCACTGTTGAAGAGAGGCGAGAAGAGAGGGAGATGGGTAAAAATGCGATCCAAATAAAAGTTGAGAGAATTGAGGGAACACACGAGGGAACTCCTTTTACTGCTTCGTTTTCTGATTCTCTTCTGTTTGTTGCTTAAAATCCCGGCGGAGGTCGAGCTCCCATCATGCCCGCACCTCCTTGATTGGCGGCCATGGACATCGGCGACTGCATCTGATGAATATGCTGCTGCTGCTGCTGGTGGTGGTGCAGTTGCTGGTGCTGCTGGTGGTGGTGATGGTGACCACTACCAAAGGGGTGATGTCCACCGCCACTTCCGCCAAAGAGGTTAAAGCTGTTGCTCTGCTGCATCTGCTGACGCTGCTGCTGCTGCTGCTGGAGACGAAACATCTGCTGCTGTTGTTGCTGCTGAGCAAAAAAGTTGTTCTCTCGATTCTGGGCGGCCATCGGTTGCTGCTGCTGCAGTGGAAAGAGCGGCGGCGACTGGTGCTGGTCATTGGTCGGCCAAAAGGGCGAAGAGGGTGATCTAGAAATAGGATTAAAAATATTAAAATCTACCCCAACATTTTCCCTAATCTTTCTTACCTCAATCCCTGACTGTTCGCCGATGCTGCTGCTGCTGCTGGGCCACCAAAAAAGCTCGCCACTGCGGCGGCATTCAACGCCGACGGACTCATCGACTGACTCGGATGCGACTGCTGATTCTGCTGATTCTGGTGCTGCTGCTGCTGCTGCTGATTCTGCTGACTCTGGTTCTGCTGTGGATTCTGGTGCTGTGGAGACAACTGCTGCCCGGTGAAGGGGTTGATGCCAAAGCTGACAATGGCCGCCAGGTCGTCCTCGCTTAGACTGCTGCCGGCGCCGGCTCCAGTGCCGCCATTCGTCGCCCCATTCTGCCC